CATGTGTCACTGGATATTTGCATTCAACATATGCTTGTTTTCAACTATACTAATATAATAAGGTGAGCACAAACTGTAACAGGATATTCCCTTAAATTTTGTATCTGCAAGTGCACGTTTGCAAAGAAGCTTTTCCAAATCAAATTCCCTACAAGTATAGGTTTTTGCCTCTAAATTAATAATATACATTTCATTTTTAACACCGACGTGTAACTTGTACTCATTTATTGGTACCACTATCGGTCCCTTTGCATCATCATACTTTTTGTACATTTTATCCTCAATAGTTGTGGTTAGAGTAGTTGCACATTTTTTAGCCTAAATGTGTCTCTCATAAAACTATTTTTGTAAAGTTTTTCTAATTTGCTCAACCATAACAAGTACTAGAAACTCGTAAGCATTCTTGAATGACGAGTTCAAAGATTTTGCATTGTTAGTCGTCATAATATTGTAACGGATTCCTTTAACATGTGCTCGAGACTAAAATTCATACCCAAACTTTCTTTTCTAGGTTTTTCCAACTGCCAAACTTTTTACGATATAGATTTGCCATTGATTTTTCAAAATTAATCAAACTATACTCCTTTGCAGTTGCCATAAACAATGGTAAAATATCGGTCATATGATAATTGGACTTTATGTTTAGTTCTAGATGTCACATATAACATCTATGATGTGCATAAGGATAAACAATCATTATACGTTACCAATGCTATCATTGCGATCAGAAATAAAAACAAACCTTTCCAACATACCTGTTACCTGAAACAACTTATTGAAGAACCAACTCCATGATGCATCGTTTTCATAATCAACAATACCAAATGCAAGAGGATATATCTAGAAATTTGCATCTTAACACATGGCAACAAGTAACATACCTCGAAATTTGGATTTGAGAAATGTTCCATCCACAGAAATGACTCATCTCATTGATGAGTGAAAAATAAAGCCATGAAAAACTATCTGAAACGGTTATCATTATCAACCTCAATGAACGTCACTGTACTGAGATTATTCTTCTTCAGAATATCGCAATATTTGGCTAATCTATCATAACTAAGATCAGGAGAACCTCTTAATAGCTCTACAGTACATTCTCTAGCCATCCATACCTTATAATAATTTATATCCATGCCAAACTCACGATGAATATCATTTTGAATGTTCGAAGGTCTGTATATAATGTTGGAATCCTCAAACTTTGACATGATGTGTTTTCTAATCATCTAACAACTAGCTTGTTTATGATCTTTGTGGCAAACATCCAATGAACAATTATGATAATGTGAATACTTTCGAATTTCAAATTCATCACTTTCCTTCAATTGTGTTGTTCGCAAACACCATTTGCAAATTTCCTCAACACAAAGTACTACATATGTACCCTTATTTGACTTAGTGACCTTAAATTCAAAAGAGTTTCTTATAGCAAGCATTTATAGTGATACTTGAAGATCCTTCTTCTTGTGAAGAATTTAGCTAACACGCACATCATCGGCGTTAAGAATCTTAGCTGATGTTCCACAAGGATTGAGACAAGTAACAACTTGTGAAATGCCAATAATCTCATCTACCAATGTAAAAAGGAGTATTATGAGTAACATTGTCTTTATTTATTACATGAGAATCATCTATGTGGTTGCCATGCACTACATAGATGATTTGATTAAAGTTCATACAATCGTTTTCGAAAATTTGATTAAATGGAGACAACGGTTGCATATAATTGTCATCGGACTTATCTTTTTGCATATTTAGTTCATCCATGTCTTCCGCATTATCCACAACTACGTTTGAATTGCATTCATGATTCTTCTAAACATTTATAATATCAAACTCCATGTCTTGTTGATCAATATAACCCTTTTACACAAGGTTACACAAATTGGAACTATGTCATGCAAAGAAAGAAACCAACTAACATTTATATCGCAAGCAATCTTCATTAGCGGAACTGATAATTTTGCCATGCCGGGAACGAGAAATTTTATCTCGATGTCATACATAACAGGATCAACATTAACTGCTTTTCGAAATTTGTCATACAACTTCATTTATGAGATAGTTTTTTATTCAGAAATATTTGTTTCGGTGTTTTCATCATTTCTTGTCTATTTCCAAATCCATCCACTTTGATCACTCTTTTCAAATTCAACAAAATAACAAATGACAATTATTGCACCGGAATCCATATATGCAATTCAACAAAATATATATATATATATATAGTATATTACTCCATTAATTGCTAAAACTGAATACTATAAATTAAGTTTCAATAACAAACAAAAGGCAACCTATATTGTTACATAACGGATTTAAGCAGAAAAACGGCATTCTATAGTTTAAAATGTGTATGTACCGTTTAAATTTGTTTAAAATAATAAAATACTATAATAGAATGAAGAAATGATTAGTTTGCTAACAAGTATATCAATACCACCACTATCGTATTAAAACAGTACCTAACTACGAGAAAAGGGCACCCAACTACCGAAAAACAGCACCATTCCGTTTTTATATTTCACAACAAATTTTGATTAACCAATAGGTTTTTTCATAGTATACAACTAGAAAATAACAAGATATCGTTAATTTTCAATTTATAAAGCATATCTTCAACTGTTTGAAATCGATTCTTGCCATTCACCTCTAAAATTTGCACTATTTGATTTGTTCTTGGTTCAAATAAAGAAACTTCAAAATATAATCATTAATTGTAAGTAAGAATAATGCATATAAAGAATAAGAAAGATGGATTTGAAGGTAGGTTTAATATGGTAAAAATGGGGTTTGAAACGTAGAAATGGAGGGGATTTAGGGATTTATATTTAGTGATTTGGTAAATATTGATATCCAAATTGAACATTTTAGTCATTTCAATTTAAGGGTATTTAAAACTATTAATATATGATCAAATAAACTATAGACTACTTGAACAAAAAGTACTGATATAGGTAATTTTACCAAAAATTATGGTTGACTAGGCTTTTGTTAAAAAAGAAAGTGATTTTCGTTTTTTAATTATTTATTTGTATTTTTTTTTTTTGAAAAATTGAGAATATAATTGTATTTTTTTTTAGTTAAATTGGAGGTATATTTGTCATATTACAGCTTTTAATTGAACAAATTGATGAGAATAATGATTTTCACAATAAAATATAAAAATAAGAGTGAAAATGTTAAAAATGAAAGATATGGACGTTTTTGCACAATAATAATGAAAATGTATGGATGTTTTGTGATAATTATCATTTTAATAATTAATTTGGACTCAAAAAGTTTGGAAGTATAATTTCAATTTATTCTTTAATATTTTTTTCTTTTTTATTGTTTTATTTAAATGGGGATGTAAATTTGTTATTTTACACGAAAAAATTGATGAAAATAATAATTTTCTCAATAAAATGTGAATATAAGGGTGAAAATGTCAAAAAAATGAAAGGTAGAAATATTTCATACAATAACATTGAGATATAAGAACTCGTGCTAATTACCTTTGTAGGTATATATAATTAAGAACCGGAGTCTCTACTCGATTTATCGGTTTATTTTGAAATCGAAAAAATCCCCCATAAAATAAGTGGTTGTTTGGTATAAATTTTAAGTTAATTAAAATTAATTTTTTGACTGTTATTTCACTATTTAATCGTCATTTTGAATTCTTTTTTTACAGGTAAGATCCATTTTATCTACAACAGTGAAAAAATCAATTATCAAAATTTCTACTAAACAAGCACTAACTTATGGGTCGGTGAGTGCGGCGTATCTATTTAAACTCCCGTTTGAGTCCCATTATTTGTAGATTATAATAAGATGAATAGTATTTTTTTGAAAAATGAGTGGTTGAAAAATTTTTGATTTATGTATAATATTATTTTATTAAAAATTGTGTGGTTAAATGTAAAGGGGGAGAAAAATTTAATTAAATGTAACGTGAAATAAAGGGGTGGGGGCTAAGTCTCAAAATAAGAACCCTAAATTGTTCAATTCGTAGGCATCTTCATTCCCGCGCAGCTGCAGTTCGCAATTCTCGCCGCTTAATTATAAGCAATTTTTCTTTGTTATGAAAAACGTTAACAATTCTGAGGCTTAATCGGCATTGTTATATTTTACAAGCAAAACCCTGGTTTAGGGTTTATTAATTTGCTCAGAAAGTTAAACAAGCTATGGATACGGAGGCAAATACTTGTCTGCCCCAGAGCGATAGAATAAAAAAGTAATTTTTATGTAAATTTACTTTAAGTATTTGCTCGATTTTTTTGTACCTTCTTTTTAACATGAATTATATATTTCGTTCAGAGAATCTCTACAATTGGTTGCTGTTTTAAAAGAAATGAAGGATGGTTTGGATACTGTGAGGACTAAAATTCAGGCTTTGACTACTAAGGTACAATTGATTCTCCTGTATAACCTGTTATTAGCCAATAAAACTTCTGTATCTTTATGATTAGGTTAGTGTTTGATATAGCGATTGAAAGTACAGTCACAATTAATGTTAGATATAATATCAAACTGTGTTTTTGCTGACATTGTTTATCTTGCTGGACGTTAAATTACTGAAAGCTTGGGGCTTTGATATCCGTTGAAATTAGTTCGAATGAAACTCACAACAGTAAATAAACATTCTAGAGACGCAACTCATAAATTGGCACCCCTCAGTTTCACATTGACTAATGGAAGGGCAGTCACCTTTTGCTACATTTTTTTTATTTTTCTGGTTTCTTTTATTTCAAGGGCAAGGAGAGTGGTGAAATAAAGCAAATCCTGCTTATTGTTGAACTTCTCGTGATTGGAACTGTCTTGTAAAGAATAGTGGACTTACTACAAAGAATTTGTTTTATTATAAAATGAATTGACTGTGTAATGTATTATTTGAAGTCTTATATCCAATGGATATTAAAAGTTTACTCCTTAATTATCTAGTTATATCATCTATGACTGCCATTGCTTTGTGTTAATTTGTTTTTATCATTTTATAAGCTTGTTAGGCTGAAATGGTGAAACCTTGTTTGTTCTTGTTGAATTNAGATAAGATATCAAGACAGGAGAGAAATGCTTTGAGAAAAGAGAGAGAGAGTCTGCGACAAGCAAAACAGAGTGCTTATGTACGAGAATTGATGAATGATCTGGAAGGAAGACCTGAAGAGGTGGGTGGATATACCTATTTTTGGGATATGTAGATTTTAAATGATACTCTCTTTTGCTGATTTATGAGTTAACACGGAAAAATACAGATCACAGAAACTGTAGGACCCGAAAGTAGGGAATTGACGAAGTATATAGCAAAGATGGAAGAACGTGCACAACAAGAGGAGGAACATTTCACACGTGCTCCACTGACGAAATCAGAGAAAAAGACAATGAAACATTTGAAGAAGTCTAGAAATGGGTAAGCTCAATGGAAGCCAGTTAATTCTGTCTTTCCATGAAGAAATATCTTGAAAGATTTACGTTGCAATACAATATGTTTATGTCTATTTATGCTACCTGATAGCTGATTTATGGCCTCTCTTTGCATGACAGGTTACTTGGTCTGACAGAAAGTTTCTATGATGAAATTAAAAGTTTACCTTTGGGGGACAGCTTAACCGAGCAAACAACTGCCTTTGACATTGGTAGCCATGGAGATAGAAAATTTAAGAGGCGCAAGGTATGTGCTTAATTTATATATCTTGCTGAAAACTATATATTTTTTAATCATCTAGTTATGCATTGAAAAGTTTTTCATGCCTGTGCTATTATCTGCCACTGTAGCTTACTTTCAGGCATACTAAAGTTAACAAGCATCTGCTTACTGATAAGAAAATAGAAAACTGAAAGGAATTACGGTGGATTGTGAGCTTTTGAGAGTCTCACTCTCTCCCAATCGAGACCCTAATTTCTACCCAAGTGAAATAAACGGCCTACCTCTCTCTGTGCAATTTATTCTACTAAATCCCCATAATACCCTAAATACAAACTTATATACTGTTGTAAGATGACTCTTTATTATGTGCACTGTGCTACATATATTGGGGCCTATCAATTCCCGGCCTCGAAATTCACCCTGTCCTCAAGGTGAACATCGGGGAGATGGGGGATCAGGTGGTTTGAGGAGGGCGTATCATCATTTCTGTAAATGGTGGAAGGGCCTTTTTTCCAGACAGGGCCTCAAAGAACAAAAGTCTGATTAAGCAAGCTGGTTCGGCCCTCAACTTTCTGGTTCCTTTCTACCGTGAAATTTTTGGTGCATCGGCCTTCCACGAGGGCAACCACAAAATTAATGGACAGCTCCCATTGATTTATCTGGCCTCTAGTCTTCATTGGGTCTGGAATAGGTAGCCCAACCACCGAAGTTATATATAACTTCATCAGATGCCCATTAGTATTATGTTCATCATCTGCAACCTGTCCCTTGCCGCTGTCGAGCTCCCTTAAATTGGATACAACTCTGAATGCATGCCCAAGTAATTCCATGTTTGTACAATGATGCCTAATAAAATATTTCTCATCACGCTGGAAGCACACGCCTTTATTGTTATTGGACTGCAATTCGGAATCTATAATTTCTTGAAGGAGGTTAGAAATTTTAGATTAGGAAGAGTGGCATAGTGGAAGAAGGTTTAAGAAGTGAAGGGAGGATGGGTAAAGGGCTCGGGTTGAACCTGCATTTGTATTCTTAAAACGAACTGTGCCTAATCTCACTTGGGGAAAGGTTTCAAAAATAAGTACAAAAGTTTCAAGATACACTTTAAAAAATAAGAAACTTGTGAAAAAGTTTCAAAAATGGACAACCAGATAACAATTTTGTGACTTATTAATTAATAAAACAGGTCAAGGTCACAATAATGCACTATTTATGGAGGCATTCATGTACTAGTTATAAATCACACAAGGTCACGATCACAAAGACAAATTGTAGGCCACAATTACAAATTTAGTTGCAAATTTCAATTTTTAGGTATCGTATCATTGTTGGTCTGAAATTATCCATTTTATTGATCACAATTACCCAAATAATTGGTCACATCGTTCTTCATTCCAAATGTTGTTGCCACCTTACAACCACCCTCTCTACCGCCACGCATAACTGTACCCAAAAACCACCACCATGTTGCAAATGTGTATATTGTATCACCACCACGCAAATCTTTACATCCTCCGCACCATCATCATGCTGATTTGTACAGTGCAACCCATCTCACAACCACCAGCGCATCACCCACGCACCGCCCACTGCCCCATCACACCACCATCAATTGCTATTTTAACAATAGATTTAAAGGGGACAAATTTTGGAGTATGAAGGTGGGGTCTAGCAATGTTGAGTAGCCAGAAGAGGTGGTTGAGGGAGGAGGTGAGGGCTAAAGACGCTTTTGGTAAGACGATCACAGTCTGCCGCTGTAGTAGAGCTCAGTTCTCTGGTCAAGGGCAAGGTGGAAGTGATGGCAGCAACGAGCGGCGATGGAGATGATTAGCGGTGCCGGGATTGCTGTAAAAAGAGAGTAGAGAGAGATGATGATTGGGAGAAGAGCTGCTATTGTAGAGAGTAGAGATTGTGATAATAGAGAGAGTACAGAGTTTGATAATAGAGAGAGAGTAGAGAGATAAATGATATATAAATTTTTTAATTTATACCTGGTCATTGGAAGAAAAATAGAAACACCTGATTTTTGAAGTATTTAAAATGTAAGGTTTGTTTAATTTTCGGATAATAAAGTTTGGTTCCTATCCATTGGGCCTAATCTAGTTACAACTCAATCCAATGGGTCTAGTAAACTTGCCTCAGCCCCAATTTCCTGGTTAGTCCCACTAACGAAATGTCATTCCAATGTAAAATTTGGAACCTTCCCCAATGGCGATTTTAGGATCCCAATTTGACGCTTATCTTCCTTCATCGTCACCCTGAGATCCTGCTTTGAGGCTCAAGATTTATCACCGAGTGTATTCACTAATTTTCAATTTGGAATGTTCTGTAGAGAAGCAAAAACCTCAAACAGATGGCCATCCCGCTTGATTCCTTCCTGCTTCAACACCCATTCATTTTGCTGTTGGTGATCTCTTGCAAAGGGTTGAATCGAGTCAACATCAAATCCTTCAATTCTCCCCAAGTTTATAGGGGTTGGCAATGATCTACCCATTGCAACTAAGCCATGCTTCTCCATCAAGGTACATGATAGCCGCTTCCACTTTTTCCATCTCCAACTACCGATTCATTGAAATCCTCTCCCATTAGACAACCAGCAACTTGGATTTTTCGAGTAGGATATCAATATTTTGAATCGGCCTTGCGAATCTAATACGAAATCATCATCTTTGCTGAATTTTTGCATCACGCTATCAAATTTCTTCCTTAGTTACCCCCATCTTCTCCAAATATTTGCAGAAATATGTTTCTATTTGCCCTAGAATCGATGTTTTGATACCAAATGATAAGAAAATGGAAAAACTGAAATGAACTACAATGGATTGTGAGCATTGGAGAGGCTCTCCCAATTGAGACCCTAATTTCTGCCCAAGTGAAATGAACACCTTACCACTCAATTTATAACCTGTACACTTTGTTCTACTAAATCCCCATAATACCCCAAATACAAATTAATATAATGATGTAAAATAACTCTTTAGTCTCTATAATGTGTGCTGTGCTGCATATATTGGGGCCTATCTCAAGTGAATTTCTTGAACGTCGACAACAGTATATAGGGACAAATAAACAAATTGTATGAAGGGATGTTGTAAGTAACAACATCACTGTGATAATTTGATTTCTGGCATGATTGTCAACACATCTAATCCACACCAAAGTTTACCGTGCATTTGACACAACTTATTTGAAAATCATTTCTCCTCAAACCCACTTTCAACTACACATTCTTCCAATAAAATTACTTTGCATGTGAACCCTGTACCTTTTCCTACGTATTAACTGCATATCCTCCAAATTAATCATTTTTCACTGTGAATAATCTCTCCCAAGCAATACTTAATCTTCTAGTTATAGTATAAGCAGCTGTCTGAAAATGGCAACCCAGAACCCTAGAATTTATGAATCTCTCTTGCATTGAGTCATTGTCTGCTCCTGTGAGATAACTTGGTGTAGGGCCTCCTTCGTACTCTCTTGAATGACGAGCAATATTCCTACTTATGTATTTGATAGCTAAGTTTGACTTAATAATAACATATTTGATTGTCTATTTAGGTTCTTGAGAATTAGCTGCAGAGATTTCCATGATTGATCTAAGCTTTCCATGTCATATGGATCTAAAAGTAGGGGTGTTTGTTCATGTAAAGAGAGGTTTCCTGTGTCGGTATGCATGCTGGATAAAGATTTTTGGGGTTGAAAAGTTGAAGTTAATTTGTTAATTGTTGAAGATGTAATTTCCTGTGTCAAACCCTCAACACGAAGAGTGATTAGCTGTCTTTATCTGTGCGGCAATGACTACCATTAAGAAATAAAGCTCGTTTTCTTTCTTTCTTTATATCTGCAATTTATTGATCCATGTGTATGTGTCTGGAAGAAAATACTGAATTTATATATCTTTGCAGAGGAAACATTGAGTGACAGCAACCTAATCCAAGTGAATTTAGAAACCAAATGACACTTGATTACCATGTCTTCTCGAGCAAAGTTGTTAAAGTTCATTTGGATCACTCAGAATACAGCTTCACTGGAGAAACAGAACCATCTTTTATGGCACTTGAATGAAGGCTTGTATACAGAAGGTATCATCATATTACCGTCTTTTGAAAGTAGTTTCATGTCGAGAAAATTAACTGATTGTAGAGAGTTATTCTCTAAAGAAACGTGCCATATAAGGAATGCCCCATTGAGTACAAAATTTATTTCGTTTGGTCACATTGTTTTTAATTTTTCCAATAAATATTTAAGAATTACAATTTCAAACAAAATTCGGCCATCAACACCAACCAACGCAATAGCCAATTTTCCAGAATCAATCCAATGCCAATTATCGAGGCTGACAGTAAACTGTATTTTTCGGAGCAGCATCACATGCAGGGTTTCCTGTTAACCTGAAACCGCGAAAAAATGTCGGATGATTAGGGCAAAGCAAACATTGTTATCCTTCCCTGTTACATAAATCATGAAATGTCTTACAGTAATGTAGTATTGTTTTCAGAACTAAGCGTTACTGATTGTATATCGTTGTCCTGCAAATCAGTCAGTTGAAGTTGCAGGCTAATGTTACGGCTCATATCTAATTGGCCACTAAAGGCATTATTCCTCAATTTCCTGTCAGCATTTTGCAAGATTGCGTTAATATACACATCCAAAGATCTTTGGGTTAACATTATTGTTCGACTTACACTTGCTGAATCTGAGGTAAGCTGAAAAGTTGAGGGGGCAGCAATCCCTGCAGTGCTCCGTATTCTATTATCCTGGAAATTGTATCAGATTTTGAACATGAGATTGTTTCTGTTTCTTGATTTCTAAGGTAAGGTGAGTCCTTGGTTTGAATATTGTTTTACAATTTTTCTTCAATAAGTTACTCCATACTTACAGTGTAGTTAGGGAGTCTAAAGTTGAGATCCACCCGGGAGCTTCTGTTTTTTGAAAAGAGTTGTTGCTCAAGTCCCTGATGAAAGAGAGAGATAATGCATATTCAGGAACATGAAATGCTTATGTTTTGGACTAGTGGAAAGGGTTCTTCTTACACATAGCTGAGGGAGTTCATTCCTGTTAAATTTGGTAATTTACCAGTCAACATATTGTGAGCCAAATTCCTACATGATACAAACGAAATGTTAGTGAATCATCATTAGTCTCTCCAGTAAGAAGTTGAGTTTTCACTGGGCTAAAGGATGTACACACAATTCATGGACATTTGTGAGGTCGTTGAGGTTTGATGGGACACTTCCAGTCATGGCGTTTTGATTAAGTCGGCTGGACGCGAAAACCGGGGTAGTCAACACAACGTTCAAAATAGATTCATCGAAAAAGAGGAAAGTAATAAAAGTTCTACAAGGAGTTTACTCACAGAACTTCAAGTGTCTGAACCAGTCCTAATGTATAAGGAATGCTCCCTTCCAATAGATTCTGGTCGAACAGTCTGCCATTTTTACACCAGAAAGAATGATAAAATGATGTTTTCAAGATTAGAACAAGCGACTGGCACTAGCCTTGGCTTACACGTCTATTAGCGACATATCTGAGCCAAAAAGTTTTGCTGGAATTTCTCCTGAAAGCTGGTTTTTGTTGAAATGGCTGCAAAGACATTGATAAATGAATTGAACCATTTAAAGGAGAAACAAAACGGTTTACAAATAAAGTTACACTCACAAGTGTTTGGCCTTTTTAAGGCCGTCAAGCCCTGGATCTATCCCTGTGGACACAGGGAGAGTTCCTGTCAAATGGTTTTCTGCGAGGTCGAGCCAATAGATGTTGGAAAGTTTACCAAGTGAAGATGGTATCTCACCGGTAAAGTTATTGGAGTTAAGTGCTCTGCAAAGGAAAGTCGTCGTAGGATAAGATAATGGAAAATAGTGACTCCATAAGATTTCATCATGAAAATGACCATTCTTACAGATAAGTAAGCTCGGTGAGGTTTCCCAATTCACTTGGTATAATTCCAGTAAAGCTACACCCTGCTAAATTTCTACAAAAAGATTCATTTATATTGATGTGAGGAGGAAGAATTCTAGTTTTGGGAAAAAATAATGTTTTGAATTATATTTTTCAGAAGAATGTATGGTTAAAAAGTAGGAAAAATTTTGGGTTTATATGCAAAATATTTTATTGTTTGAATGTGCAGTTGAAAATGAATATATTGAAAAAAGAGATTTTAAATAATGGTTGTCAAACGGCGGCCTAGTAATAACGAGTCACGAGATCTTACATTGCGCTCAATTTTCGCAAATCTCCTAGCCGAGGAGAAAGTGGACCAGTGAGGCCACGGTTGAATGACAAGTCCCTGAAAAACGGCAGCTCAAGATCTTAAGACTCAATATCAAAACCTATTGATATGCCAAGCCTATCGAAGAATCTCTAGTGTTCCAGTATGTGACTGAAAGGTTACTCACAAGGTATTTAGTTCGGTGAGCCCTGCGATGTCACCAATCAATATTCCTGTTAGTCCCATTCCGGGTAATTCTCTGTAAAATCGAGATATGTTATAAGCATCAGGAAAACTTTTCCCCCGACCCCAGGTGAGTGCCCTACAAGTTTTGAATTCGCCGTTGGGGAATTCACATGAAAGGGAACGAGGAATTCTCAACGAAAAAAGTGCTCTCTGAATCGCACGTGAAAATCGTTTTCCATCAAGACTAGAATACTCACAATTCAATGACGCTTGCGTTCTTGTCGCAGGTAATTCCGTCCCAAGCTCCACATGGATCATTGGAATTATTCCAACTCGGGGGTGTGTTTCCCCATTGATCTTTTAATGATTGAAGTACAGCAGCTGTATCCAGTTTCATTTTCATTAATACGAACGCGTTATGTGCATCGAAAAGTATCATACAGAAACTCATTCAATCAAAATCCCTCTAATCATGTGCACAATATAGACTGATATGATCAAATAATTATCAACAGTTCCTATCAATTTTACCCTCACCCTAAAGTTTCTGAGCATGTTTGGCTGGAATTCGATGCTTATCTTTTAGCCATAGGATGGGTATTTATTTTTAAGATAAGTCCAGCCAAACATGCTCTCTATATAGTGGACTCAAGCTATAGTGATAACCCATTTACACACTATTGATTTCATGCTAAAAAGGTGGCATCTTTGGGAATTGAATCATGTCCTCCCATATAGGAGTCTTAAAGGTCAATCCCACTCGACATCTCAATTCTCAACATGCCCAACTCGCAGTAGAAACATAAACTGAACCACTTGGTGCCCACCAACTCTCATAAGATTAAAAAATACACACACTTAGAAATGTTAGCAAAAGTTTACCGTCTTCTGGGTTAGTCGCAGATGAGATTGCGTTAATCCAAGTGAAGAGGAAGAGAGAGCACAAAAGAAGCCGGAATGCTACCATGGCTGCACTAAGAATTCAAAACCCACGTTGTGAAATGAATTGTTTAGCAGTCTGCAGCTATGAAAGTAATAAAAGTTCTACAAGGAGTTTACTCACAGAACTTCAAGTGTCTGAACCAGTCCTAATGTATAAGGAATGCTCCCTTCCAATAGATTCTGGTCGAACAGTCTGCCATTTTTACACCAGAAAGAATGATAAAATGATGTTTTCAAGATTAGAACAAGCGACTGGCACTAGCCTTGGCTTACACGTCTATTAGCGACATATCTGAGCCAAAAAGTTTTGCTGGAATTTCTCCTGAAAGCTGGTTTTTGTTGAAATGGCTGCAAAGACATTGATAAATGAATTGAACCATTTAAAGGAGAAACAAAACGGTTTACAAATAAAGTTACACTCACAAGTGTTTGGCCTTTTTAAGGCCGTCAAGCCCTGGATCTATCCCTGTGGACACAGGGAGAGTTCCTGTCAAATGGTTTTCTGCGAGGTCGAGCCAATAGATGTTGGAAAGTTTACCAAGTGAAGATGGTATCTCACCGGTAAAGTTATTGGAGTTAAGTGCTCTGCAAAGGAAAGTCGTCGTAGGATAAGATAATGGAAAATAGTGACTCCATAAGATTTCATCATGAAAATGACCATTCTTACAGATAAGTAAGCTCGGTGAGGTTTCCCAATTCACTTGGTATAATTCCAGTAAAGCTACACCCTGCTAAATTTCTACAAAAAGATTCATTTATATTGATGTGAGGAGGAAGAATTCTAGTTTTGGGAAAAAATAATGTTTTGAATTATATTTTTCAGAAGAATGTATGGTTAAAAAGTAGGAAAAATTTTGGGTTTATATGCAAAATATTTTATTGTTTGAATGTGCAGTTGAAAATGAATATATTGAAAAAAGAGATTTTAAATAATGGTTGTCAAACGGCGGCCTAGTAATAACGAGTCACGAGATCTTACATTGCGCTCAATTTTCGCAAATCTCCTAGCCGAGGAGAAAGTGGACCAGTGAGGCCACGGTTGAATGACAAGTCCCTGAAAAACGGTAGCTCAAGGTCTTAGGCTACTTGTAAACATTTAGACTCAATATCAAAACCTATTAATATGCCAAGCCTATCGAAGAATCTCTAGTATTCCAGTATGTGACTGAAAGGTTACTCACAAGGTATTTAGTTCGGTGAGCCCTGCGATGTCACCAATCAATATTCCTGTTAGTCCCATTCCGGGTAATTCTCTGTAAAATCGAGATATGTTATAAGCATCAGGAAAACTTTTCCCCCGACCCCAGGTGAGTGCCCTACAAGTTTTGAATTCGCCGTTGGGGAATTCACATGAAAGGGAACGAGGAATTCTCAACGAAAAAAGTGCTCTCTGAATCGCACGTGAAAATCGTTTTCCATCAAGACTAGAATACTCACAATTCAATGACGCTTGCGTTCTTGTCGCAGGTAATTCCGTCCCAAGCTCCACATGGATCATTGGAATTATTCCAACTCGGGGGTGTGTTTCCCCATTGATCTTTTAATGATTGAAGTACAGCAGCTGTATCCAGTTTCATTTTCATTAATACGAACGCGTTATGTGCATCGAAAAGTATCATACAGAAACTCATTCAATCAAAATCCCTCTAATCATGTGCACAATATAGACTGATATGATCAAATAATTATCAACAGTTCCTATCAATTTTACCCTCACCCTAAAGTTTCTGAGCATGTTTGGCTGGAATTTGATGCTTATCTTTTAGCCATAGGATGGGTATTTATTTTTAAGATAAGTCCAGCCAAACATGCTCTCTATATGGTGGACTCAAGCTATAGGGATAACCCATTTACACACTATTGATTTCATGCTAAAAAGGTGGCGTCTTTGGGAATTGAATCATGTCCTCCCATATAGGAGTCTTAAAGGTCAATCCCACTCGACATCTCAATTCTCAACATGCCCAACTCGCAGTAGAAACATAAACTGAACCACTTGGTGCCCACCAACTCTCATAAGATTAAAAAATACACACACTTAGAAATGTTAGCAAAAGTTTACCGTCTTCTGGGTTAGTCGCAGATGAGATTGCGTTAATCCAAGTGAAGAGGAAGAGAGAGCACAAAAGAAGCCGGAATGCTACCATGGCTGCACTAAGAATTCAAAACCCACGTTGTGAAATGAATTGTTTAGCAGTCTGCAGCTATGTAAAGAACTACGCAAAGAAGATATATAATCGTGAGATTTGTTCAATGAATGAAAGTTCAGCTTTTTTCTCCGCCCGATGGCTGGCCGGCCGGCCATTTTAACATCTATACAAGTGAGAACCTTCAAGTTTAAGTTAAACAATGAGACGCAAGCACTACGACGAAACGGCATAGTTTTCCACTCCTTCCGTCCTGCATCAGAATTAGCTAGTTAGTCCTGATAAAAATATATATATATATAAAAATGACAAATATCACTTTAGTGCATGTTTGGTCTTAAATTTTTTACGTGCTTATAAGTTTTAGGTTCTACAAATAATAAGGGGTAATTGCCACAAAACGTCATTACCTTTCAAGTTTATTGTTGAAAATATCCATACCTTTTATTTTTTAACATTTTTGTCCCTACCTTCCATTTCTTTGCACAGAAGGTCCTTTTGACAATTTTACCCTCTATTGAAATAAAACAAAAAGAAAAGGAAAGTAAAAAATAAAGAATTAATTGCAATTATAATTTCAAAAATTTTTAAAAATTATAAATCAGTCATAATTTATTGTGAAATAAAAAATTTTAAAATTAAATAGAGAAAAGAAACTTGAATGTACAGGGAAATAATCAAGAAATTGAGAGATTTTTTTAATCATAACCAATGGAAATAAATTTTTTTGAAGATTACGTGATTTTTGTCTCAAGCCTTCCATCTATTCTTCACTGAATAAAAATTGAGATTTATGCTTACCCATTTTTGAAGATTTTCTGTTTCATTGGCTGTGGTTCAAAATTTTCTCTATTTCTTGATTATTTCTCTATATATTCAAGTTTCCCTTCTTTTTTGGGTAATTTTAAAATTTTTTCAGTTCATAATAAATTGTGATCGATTTGTCATTTTTTTGAAAATTTGGGACTATTATCGCAATTAGCTCTTTATTTTTTTTTTCTTTTTGTTTTATTTGAATGGAGGGTAAAATTGTCAAAAACTAATGAAAAGAACCTTCTGTACAAAGAAATTTAAAAGGTAGGGGCGAAAATGTCAAAAAATGAAAAGGTTTGGACGTTTTCCACAATAAACTTGAAAGGTATGGACATTTTGTGCTAATTACCCAAATAATAAGTATTGTTACGCCTCTTTTGACGAGCTCTAGCTTATGGACACGTGGCAGCCAACGAACAAGCCTAATTAGGCCCACACTCCATATCACCATCCCTACCTCACGAGGTGAGGCCATACAAATAGCCTCTTCGTTGATGAAAGCACCTCCCATTTCACCTCTTCCAAGAAATCTTTTGTACGACATCTTCTGGAGATTGATTAACGTAATATTTTTGTAGCAAATGCTTAAAAGGTCAAGTCTATATTTTAGATATCAAATCTAGACTCTAAGTGGCCACTTTTCAGAAAACATTAAGGGCCCATTTGATTGCAAATATGGAATTTGGGTGGAAAGAAAACGAATTTCAGAAAATTGAATTGTCTAGAAATTATTTTATTGGGACATGTCAATTAACTTGTTTGATTGATATAATTTTTCACGTGAAAAATGTTGAAATAAAAGTATTTTTTGGTGTTCATTTGATTTTATTTTACATGAAAATTGTAAATTAAAGGAATAGAATTTACTAGTATTGAGGATAGAATTTGTTTCCATTGCAAAAATAAAATAAAATAAAATAAAATAAAATAATAAAAAAGTAAAGAAAATCATCTATCTTTTAATGTTCATTTGACTTTATTTTACATGAAAATTGTCAATTAAAAGAAAATATTTTACAATTAAGGATAGAATTTGTTTATATTGCCAAAATAATAATAATAATAATTAATTAAAAAAATTGGCCAGCAACCTAGAAAATGAATTCTCACCATTCATTTTCATCAATTTGGTGGAAAATGGCTGAGATGACATAAATGTGGAAAAATAAATTGTCTAGAAAAAACCTATCAAACATGCATTTTTGGTTTAGGATGAAAATAAAATTTCCATTTTCCATGGAAAGTAGGCTTATCAAATAACTCCTAAATGTCAATCAATTTCTGTTTGACGCTTAGGAAGAGACACCTCGGTCATGAGGATGATGCCACATGCCCCTTGATCTAACAATAACAATTCATCCCCTCCTAATGTAAAAACTCACACTTAACCCCTATTTGATTGCCATTATTTTGAAGAAAAAATGATGTTTTAAATAGTGATTTTTTGAAATATATGTTTTTCAAAAAGTATGGTAAAATTTTGGATTTACTTGTAAAATATATTATTGTGTGAATATGTAATTAAAATTAAGTATAAGAATTAAAAAGTTGTTTTAAAGAAGAGACAAACAGGACCTTAGTGCCATTTAAAGGTAATGCAATATTATACACTCAAACTATAACTTTGCTCTCTCATTGTTGTCTTTATATTCCCGAATTTGAACACCTTACATTGTGGCTCATGTCGTTGGCACATCACACCAAATACTTATTCGAATTTGACCAATTTGAACAAATCGTCTTCCCTATCATTGGAAAAGGTCGCGTGCTCTAACAATTTGTCCAAGTGTGCAGAAAGAGGCTACGTGAACGTGAGAGAAATCAAGATCTATTGGCCACGTCATCCTTACAAATATCGAGGTTAACAGATTGATTATAATAAACCATACTATTAACTACGAGCAACCCCTGGAAAAAGCTCGTTGAAAAAGTGTTTCAACTGTTTCTTGAAAAATGTTTTGTTTTTGAATGAAAAACAAGTAGAAGTCTCGTAAAAAGAAGGTATAGAGTGTTCTTTGGTGCTTTAGGTGTTTGCATTCCTTGAAAAAAGAATACTCGGGGAGGAAATTTTGCTCAAAAGACCCCCACTTTGGATAAAAGAGGCGTCTA